GGATAATAGCGCGTTGTGACAAACACCAGATACAGCACTGGGACTTGATCAACAGCCGATACCGCACCGTGACGTCACAAACCAGTAGGTGGCAGTAGTGTTCTTTGACAAACATGGATGCCTCCAGTAAAGCACATTCACATGAAAATTACTCTGAATTAAAAACATTTATCATTTATTGAACAGTCTGTAATAATCTAATATTTAAAGTACTTTCTGAAGTTTTAATTCTAAATATGACCGGACTTTTCCTGTAATAGAATTCCTGAACGTCCGTGCTCTCTTCTGCTGGCAGAAACGCAAAACTAGCTGAAAGCCAGATAGTGACGACTGATGGAGGTAGTTTATAGAGCCTGACCGTCCTGCGATGCCTCACTCTGAAGTGACAAGTAGGGAAAGACCAACTCACATGAGTTAAATAAGGCAATCTGCCGCTAATTTAACTTCTAGTGATTCTACCCCAGAGCGTATCAGAACATCCCAGGGAAAAAAACTTTTAAAAAGTCATAGGACTTTTATTAGAATTAAAGAAATAGGATTCAATTATTTTAAAACCTATTTAAGTGCAGGTGCAGCTGTTAGATAAAACCCAACTAGCTGCTGTAGGCTAGTTCCTTGTTTATGTCTTGTGCACATGCACAGCATGGTTCCTTTACTGTCATTGTGAAATATCCAGTAGTAGCCATTCATAATGTCCCCACTTTCCTTGATGGGCCCTTGGCTTGTTCCCAACATTTCCTTTTTAAACATCTAAAATGTTCTTTCTGTCATGATTTGTAGACATTAAGATCTAAAGAGAAGCGTCATCTCTTGTCAGACCCTGTAATTCAGTGACAGGGTGGAGTCCGAGTAAAAAAATATTCAAGAGGGGGTCACTCCAGTGGCTGGAAGTTGGAGGGGATTTTGCAGGGAGTTGCAGGGAAGCGGGCTGCCATTCGGCTGCCGTTTGACTGGGAAGGGCCATTTTGAATGGCTGCTGTTGTACAAGAAGGGTTTTATTTACTAACAAAATGGCTGAAAAGAAAAGTGTAAAACACCAAAGTAACAAATAACACCACAGCAGGAGGTGATAATCTTGCTGATGAACTTTACATGCAACCAGAGTGCGTTACAGTATGAGGTGTGACTGTGCACCTTTAAATTTATGGATATTCTGACATAAAAGCTTTCATTGGGTTTTAATGTGATAAACTAACTTAAAGAGAAAGCGTACCTATGAGGGAAGGAGAGCGTTCAGCAACCATGGCTCGGTACCTGGCAGAATCTTCACTCTTTCATTGTAATATTGGGACAATAGAAAAAGTTAATCAGCCTAGAATACTTGAATGCAATGATGGGCAGCAGGAGATGGGCTGCTGGATTTCCATCGTCAGCATTTCCATTTCTAAAAGCAGAGCAGGAGATTCCAGCTAAACAGCTAAACAGCTGCACGGTGTGACTAAAGGCGGATTTAGTGTGTTCCCACACGGAGGACGAAGCTGGTGTTTTTGGACGAGTTCTTTCCGTCCAGATGTTGAAGCGTCCAGATCTGTGAGATCCCTTTTTCCCAGAAAAACATCTGGGGCTGGAAGCGTTCCATATCAGACGGTTCTTTCATGACAGGATGTGTTTCTAACTGGGAAAGGCGTCATGTGAGCTGCCAGCTGCTGATCTTTATTAGCTTGCTGTTCTGGTTGTTACTTGAGTTCTTTATTTGAACAACTCTTGCTAAATTTTATTTAAGGGAGTTCATAAGGAAGCTGATATTTTCAGACAGCGCTGGTTTAATGAACCCAGATCAGATGAAAGCTGTGATGGAGGCTTTTCATGTCCAGTTCTCTGTGCTAATCCTCCAATGAAAAAACTCACAAACTATTCGGTCAACCTTAAAATCATTGCAAAAAAAGTAAATAAATAAAAAAACACTGGACTTTGTTTCAAAGTTTGAAGACATTTCGCTTCTCATCCAGGATGATTTTCAATGCAGAATGTCAGAATTACCATTGAGTTCAAACCTTTATATCAGAGGTCACGGATTGGCGGCCTGCGCTCCGGATCCGGACCCAACCTGATTTAAAACATTTATAAATTACCAAAGGTCGGACAACAGTGTCTTTTTTATTTTTATATATTTGAGAAACCAAACAACCTCTCCACAGACGCATGGCCCAACACAGAAGAGTGACATCCTAGAGACAAGACTCAGCTGTCCACCTGCACCTTTAGGACAAAGGACACTCATTTGAGGACCACAATGTTCATATTTTGGACAAAGAAGACGGGCAGCTGGAAGCTATTTATGTTAAGAAAGAAAAAACAACCTTAAACAGAGGGGGTGGTTGATTTCTACCTGCTATCACTTCAACCCTCAGCCCCATGAAGGGGACAAAACATCTTGCCAGGGCAGCAGGGCCAACAATTGCTAGTGACCCCCCCTTACAGAGGCATAGACCAGTATGGGGTATTGCAGGTTACCAAAGAACCAAAACGACTCCCCATTCCTAAGGATCGGACCCATTCATCATGTTTAATTTGCATGTTTTCTGAGCCAAAACAAGTTTTTGGGCTACTATATAAAGCATTTGGAATTGAAAAATTTCCTGGATGGGAAGCAAAACGTCTTTAAACTTAGAAGCAAAGTTCATGGGATTGTTTTTTAACTTTTTTGGAATGAATATGACCTAGAGTAACCTTAAAATCTGCAACTGGGCTTTCAGAAGTGTACGTTCACTATAAGGCACGCCGTGCTAGCTTTGGCTACAGAACAGCCGTTGTTTCCTCACGGCATCGATTAAACATGGAGTCCTGGGAGACCACGGTTCCCTGTTGATGTAACGGCGTTATGCGGCTGCTGCAGATCTGTAAACTGAACTTCTGTGATGGTGATCCTGTTTCATCAGGACCCAGAGGGACCTTGTGACAGTGGAAGGATTGAAAACAATATTCATAGATGTGACTTGATATGGTACGATTCATCCTGAAACATTAACAAAAACAGTTTATTGCGATTTTTATAAAATAGCTCTGGAAAATCCTTAGAAGATCTTGTTGCTCTGCTGTTGCTGGAGCAGAGCAGCAGAATAAAAGCCAGAACAGACGAATCCCATTTTCGTCGGATTCGTCATGACCTCATCGTGTCGGATGAGGTCATGGCGTTTAGCGCTCATCTATGGGGAGGATCAGACCCAACATGAGTTCCTGCAAGGGGGCAGCGTAGCGTTTACTTCAGTCAGACTACGCAGCAATTCAGCAGCAATGTCATGGGTCTGACAGGAAGGGAGACGCGGTTACAAAGCAAAACACATCCGCTTTGAGGGGAAATACAAAATAAAATCTGTTCATCTCATGGGAAAAGAGTCAGTTTGAAGTCACACATCGCGTTTATAGTAAGCAGGACAGACTGGTGCAAAAACAATGAATGAAACATTAAAGAAGGAAACTTTAACCATAATGTAGGCTATCCCTCATCTCTTTATGTAAAAAAAGAAAGAAAAACTTGGATAAACTTCCCAGATCTCTCTGATAATCACCTCTCTGACTCAGTCGGCATAGAAACCGTCCCACGGCGTTTATTGCTGTGATTTTCTTTTCTTTAGGCGTAGATCTCATTATCTCATTTGTAATCTATGAACATTCTCTATCTGTTCTGCTCCACAGACTCCTTAAGTAGGGCTTTGCTTTATAGCTGCACCGCTGGTTTTTAAAAGGTTTTATTAATAACTTTTCATAATCTGTCCAAGTGAAATGTGGCAAAGTGTTTTAATTTTTTTGGAACAGAGACAGAAGTGAAAGAAATCTGCCCAGATCTGCTCATCCTGCTTGTTCGGAATCTCTCTATACGTAGTCAGTGTAAAATGAGAAAAAAGTTGGATTGTGTTCAGACCTTGACAAGCTCTTTGGCAGTGCACTGCCACCTAGTGGCTGTAGGTTTAAGAGTTCTATAAACGTAAGACATTGAAATGGATGTCCAGCTAGAAATATTGTTTACATTGAAGATCCATTCAGCCTTATTTTAAATTAAATTAAATATTGCGATATTTGACCTAGTGATTTTTCTTCTAATAATAGTTGCAGCTAGTTTATTTCCTCACCTTTCCCCTTTCAGAAAACTCTGCGTGTGTCTCTAGATTTCAGCTGTCTCTATGTGGTGGATTTGGGATTTTTTTAACTGGGGTGTTCAGCCGTCGCCATGGTGACTTTATAGGTTTTTGGACAAATTCTCGGAGCGTCCTTGAATCTGAAATTTCCACAGTCATTAACTCTCTGGAGGCGGGGTCAGGAGTGTGTCTGTCCTCTCATTGGCTGATACTGAATCAGAGTTTAAAATATGCTTCTTTAAAAATGATTCTAATTTTCAATTCATTTCATTTCTATTGCACCAATTTACAGCGCATGTCATCTGAAGGCACTTTACGCAGACCATTCAACCCGATCATACAGTCAGTCAAATTTTAAATGTAAGGAAAACCAGCTGATTGCATCAACTCATTGCCTGGAAATCAATCCCTCACACTAAGCATGCTTGTAGCGACAATAGAGAGGAAAAACTACCTTTTAACGGGAGGAAACCAGAATCAGGACCAGTGTTATAAGCAGCTTATTTTCCACCCGTGGTAGAAAGCTCTTTATTTACTGCAGGTAGCAGAAATCTGCTGTGGTTTTCTTTCTTGAGTAAATTAGATTTATTTATTCCTGTTGAACGAAGATATTAGACGAGTTTTTGACTGTTGGTCTGACATCAACTGCTTATAACATTTTGAAGTTTTTCTTCAAAAACCCCAAATTTCCTTCAGAGCTGATGGTTTGACTGTCTTGGCTTGGATTGGATGTTAGATTTTTTTTGTTTTTTTTCAGATATGCCTCCCGTAGTTCTGACTGTTTGTTTTACTCTTCCTCCTCCTCTTCCTCTCTCCACAGATGATGAAGATGGACACCATCAGTAGGCCCATCCCAGTCCAGATACCCAGCCTCTCCCCCCAGCCTCAGACCCCTCCCTCGCGGAGCAGCTACACCGATGGGCTCCTTCCGTCTGAGGAAGACTCCTCCTCTCCGTCCCCGCCCTCGCCTCCGCCCCCTCCTCCCCCTGTGGTGGGTGTGGCCCACCAGGCGGCGCCTCCTTCCTCCTACGTGAAGTACAGCACCCTGGCTCGTCTGCAGAGTCAGAACCAGCCCAGGACCCAAACGCCTGGTGGCACCAGCCCGGCCTCCCCTCCAGTACAGAACTTCAACACTTTGCCGGCGTCGTACGGGACCTCCCCTCCGTCCCCGCCTCCTCCGCCGCCACCAACGGCGCCGGCTCCCGGCTCCGCCATGGCTGCCCTGAAGTTTGGTCCACCGAGCCCCAGCTCTCTGCCGCCCCCTCCTCTACTGGAGGAAGAGATGCAGGAGCCCCACTGCCTCCCCCCTCCTCCCCCAGAGAGCCTTGATGCCAATGGCCTGCCCCCCCCTCCCCCTCCGGAGCCCCTCCCTAACCCCTGCCCTCAGCTGTCCAACTCGGGGCTGCAGCAGTTCCTGTCCCAGAAGTTTCCAAACATGGTTTATGACTTCCAGCCCGGCGCCCTGCAGGACGCCTCACCCCCACCCCCACCACCTCCCACTGAACTCTCTCCCCCAAATTCGCTCCAAGCGCTCCGGCCTGTTTCACCTAACGCACCCCCCCCTGCTCCTCCCAAGACCTTCTCTGGGGTTTTCGCCCCGCTGACGGCTCCCAAACCGTCCGGCCCCTCCTCCCTCCCCATCGCCCTCTCCCCCGTGTCTCCCACCCAATCATTTCCTGGACACGGTCCTGTCAGAAAGCAGCAGAGCTTCTCTACAGGACACTCCCCCAATCAGCCCCCTCCCACTCTGCCCAAACAGCACAGCCTGTCCTCCAAAAACCTGTCCATCTCCCCCTCCCCCTCCTCCTCCTCCATCTCCATCGCAGCCGCTACATCCTCACTGGTCAAACAGATCGTCAATCAGTTTCCAGGAAACTCCTCTCCTCTGCCCACCTCTGGCTCCGCCCCCCTGTCGCCTCCTGCGGTGAAGGCCAAACCGAAGTGGCAGGTGGGGGGTGCAGCAGCTCCACAGTCACCAGAGTTCCCCCCGCCTCCCCCTGACGGCTCTTTAGGTGATTTTCCGCCTCCCCCGTCATCCACCTCCTCCTCCAAGACGGGCTCTCCTATCAAGAAGTCCCCCTCGACCTCGTCTACAGGGTCCACCAAGCGTGGGCCCCCCCCGGCCCCGCAGAGAGCCTCCTCCATCAAAGACGCTCAGGACGACAGGCCCAAGAAGGTGGAGAGTCTGCTGAGTAAATTCGGCCAGGCTCCTCAGACGGGAACGTCGTCTAGCTCTTCCTCAGCGACGGGGTCTCCTTCGAAAGACTCCGCCCCCCTGCCAGCTCCGCCCCCCAAGCCAGGGAAGCTGAACCTGGCCAGTCTGCCTCTGGCCATCCAGGGACTGCAGACGGGCCAGCAGCAGCCTGACTTCCCGTCGCCTCCTCTACCACCTCCTCCTTCCCACCATCCTCACCTTGACTCGTCAGCCGACTACTTCCCTCCCCCGCCGCCCGAATCTGAGCTCTTCCCTCCCCCGCCTCACCCCTCGGAGTTCCACCACCCTCCGAAGGTTGCCGTGGTGAACCCGCAGCCTCAGATGCAGTCGGTAACATCCTCCTTCTCGTCGTCGACGTCTTCTTCATGGAAACAAGGCTCGCTGAAAAAAGGGGCGGCGCCCCCTCCAGCGCTGAATCGGCGCAGCAGCAACACCACGGCGCAGTACGACAACACCATCTCACTGCCTCTCTCGCCTCCCCCTCTGTCCCAAACCCCGCCCCCCTCCCTCTCCTCTTACTCCGCCTCCTCCTCTCCTATCCCCCCCACCTCCCCAAAATCAGCGGGGCCCGTCTCTCTGGCGTTAAAGCCTCACTTCCTGGAGGACCTCAACCGCACGCTGAAGAGAAAGTCGGTGTCGCGCCACGGCTCGCTCACCTCCTCGACCCTGATCCCTTCCTCCAAGATGGAGCCGGTCGGCACCATGGACGACATGGCCCTCCTCCCCCCTCCTCCCCCCGAACTCCTGCAGCAGCAGCAGCAGGGGGTGCGGGGGCACTCCCACACGCTGTCGCGGCACCATGGGCGCTCCCAATCAGCCAAACATGGCAACATCTCAGGCTATGCAACGCTGCGGCGAGGCCCGCCTCCCGCCCCCCCCAAACGGGACCAAAGCACCAAACTGACCAGTGATTGGTAGAAGGCCGCACCTCTGACTCTAAGCTCACAGACGGAACTGACCAATCAGGTCTGATTAGCTCTCCTTAGTCCCAAAAACATTCCCTCCTGGATGCTAAGCAAGTAGCAAACAGTCTTTCCTCCTGATCTCAGATTAATCCTCATTATTCCTCATTGTTACACGTTTAATCCAACATGAGGATCAATAGAAGTATATAAATGAATATGTATAAAGTTAGCAAGACAGACCCCCCCCCATCCCACAGCCCGGCTTTTTTTTCACGTCAGTGCAGCTTTGCATTAAAACATAAACTAAAGACTAAAAGTGACATTTGGCTGCAATATACCAGGTACTGCATGGCGAGCGCCACGGAAGGAAGGAACCACGGAAGAGGAAGGTTGATGATGATGATGATGATGTGTATAGGGTGGTGTGGGTTAGTGTGTGTGTCTGTGTGTGTGGCGAGGCAATCCTTCGAGGGAGCGTTGTCGTTTATTTCATCCTTTTTTTTGCGTGTTTTTATATCAAATTATTTAATACTGGATAAAAATATTGTAATAATTATTTTGAATTTTAAGAATCGACGAAGTTGGACTGTTTTCTACGAGCACCCGGTTAGCCAGACTGTTCAGGTCTGCTTTGGTTTCATCAAAATGTGTTACGGCTTCATCCTGTTGTATGTTTTTCATATTTCTCTGGGTTACGGCTACAGTTTAATAAGAAGAATTTATTTTAAAGATGAGGAAAACAAATTTTCACCGTCTGATCAGTCTTTATCTAGGTTGTCCGCTCAGCTGAGAGCTTTTTCATATTTCTGTGAAGCAGCCGCTCCTCAGTGTATTTAGGCGGGATAGATCAGGACAAAGAAGTGCATAACTGTGAAGCTGAAGGAAAACAACGCATGGTTTCCATGGTTCCCAAATATTTTCAAAATTGGCCATTTTCCCCCCATTCTCTACTAAATTAATGATAGAAAAGTTTTTTTTTCTTGTATTTCGCCTCAGTTGTCCATCACTCTGACCTGCTTGATCGTTCCTGCCAAAGAACAATCCCACAGCATGATGCAGCCTCCACCATGTTTTCTTGTGTGCTCAGGATGAAGTTTGAAAAGATCCTCTTCTTTCCACTCCTTCATAAAGTAACGATTTGTAAAGAACTTTGCTATTAGTTACTGAAAGAAAAAAAAAAACAGGAAATAATTTTTCCTAAAATAATTTTATTTTCTCTTGATTTGAGGACGTAAGTCCGTTTACAGAGAAAAAAACTGAATTTACATCTAAACTAGATAAAATTTTATCATCTTATTTAAAATGCATAGTATTCAATATCTTCTTTTGAAGGTAAAAATACATTGTCCATTGGTAAATCATCTTACTTACCTGCTTAAATTAAGGGCAGATACACCTTTTTGAAGACATTTTTACTTATTTTGAGACATGTTTTTGCTAGGAAAATAATTTTTTCTTTAAATAAGTGTATTCTCCTTTAATTTAAGCTGGTGTGTTTTGTTCTTTGGTCTACAGGAAGCTGTTTGATGGAACAGCTGATTCCAATTCTGCATGTAAACTTCTTTTAGACGTGTTTCATTATCAGGGAGAAGCTTCACAATTATGCATTCCTTTGCAAAGATCTGTCGCAGTAAACCCCAATAAAACATTTAGAAGTTTTTCTTACTGTTCTGTTCAAAGGGAATAAAAACCTCTGGAGGTGGAGCCTGAAAGGATTGGTCAGGATGTAGAAAGAGTGCGGCCTTGGATTGCAGGTCTGCATCATCACATACTGTGGTTGCAGAGTTTTTTTTACGTCTTTCCTTCCCTCTGAGTCTGCAGGGCGGCTGCGATGCAGCTCGAACCTCCATCCTGTTTAGACTAACCTTTGACTGAGGGGCAGGAAACGCCTCAGACAGACCCCCATAGCTTCAGGTTTAACATGGTGCTAGAGGCTCTACCAATGTGCCATCCTACACTTCTTTCATCTCAGCTCTACAGATTTGGAAATGTTGACGGATTTAAAGTTAAACTCAGTTTAGCTGAACTGCCCTGAAAGCAGCCTGTAGGTCAGGTTGCTCCACCAGCTCCACCCGTCTCTGACTGGGGGTGCTGACTGCTGCCGTTTCTGTTAACAGAACCATCCCGTCTTCATCTCTTGGTCAGTCACTTTCTCTGGTGGTGGATTTTCCTCCCAGTAACCATAGAAATGCCCTGGGAACAAGTGCCTGTAAAACAAACGGCGCCCCCTGCTGCTGGCTGCGTGGAATCATCTGATGTCTGCAGTCTCCTCTAACGTGGAGCGTTGAAGTGTTTAGGAGGTGAATGCAACCCCAGCAGAACATGTAAGAGAATCAAGGCAAATGTTCTGGGATCTGCAGCAACAACCTGAATCTTTCCCAGGAAATTGGCTCCATTTGGGTTTTTCTCTGTAAGCTTCTTCATGGTCAGCACAGGAAGGAGACATTAAAGGAGAAGTCCCATAAGCAAGGAATAATGAACGGATCATTATCAATACCTAAAACCAACATGTTATTTAATGAATTTAGCGTTAATCAGTAATTCTATTTAAGCCTTATAAAGACAACAAGAAGCATTTATATGATGATAAATCCTTTGGTTCCATTTTTCCAACCTGGGAGAAAGACTCCTGCCTTCACTGTAGGAAACTAATGATAATTTTGCAAATTGGTTAATCTGACGATAATCTTTTTGATTAATAGATTAATAGTCGAATAGCAAAAGGTTCCTTAAAGGAGACTTTTTACAAAAATTAAATGAAACTAAAACTTTTCCACTTGAAGAGTTCTGGATAGAGCAGATTGACAAATGAAAACTTTTTTTTTAATCTTAAAGGAAAGGACCAAGGAATAATCAATGGATCATTATTTATACCTAAACTAATACATTTGCAGTGATTTAATGAATTTAGAGTTAATGAGTAAAAAAATTTTAAATTTTCGTCGTAATCACGGATTCTGGGAGCGGCAATTTTTGCCCAAATATAGTAACCCCTTCCTCCTGCCATCTTCCAGCAGTGACGTCACGGTGCGGTAAGCCTAGCGCCATTCTCCCCGCTTTACAAGCCAAATCAATGGGAACTACTAGACACATCTGCAATCAACAACAATTATTGAAGATTTCCAGAGGACTTCACCATTGAAATTCACCAGACCTATAGTGAAACTGACAATGCCCACGTGCATGACAGCTGGATGTTGGAATACATCGGGTAAAAGTGGAAAAAAAAGAGTTATTTCACCTTTCCGATTCCTGATCCTCCACGGACGGGTTGGTCGTTGGATCGCCAACTTGAAGAGGGAGGATTTGCCATCGAACTTCTGGCCAGAGAAAAAACCCGTAATATGTAGCCAACATTTGGAAGAAGAATGTTTTCAAGATGACTTGGATAATAGCGCGTTGTGACAAACACCAGATACAGCACTGGGACTTGATCAACAGCCGATACCGCACCGTGACGTCACTAACCAGTAGGTGGCAGTAGTGTTCTTTTACAAACATGGATGCCTCCAGTAAAGCACATTCAAATGAAAATTACTCTGAATTAAAAAAAACTTATCATTTATTGAACAGTTTGTAATAATTTAATATTTAAAGTACTTTCAGAAGTTTGAATTCTGAATATGACCGGACTTTTCCATTAAACTGGTGCGAGGGGAACGTCTCCGCCTGGAGAGGAGTTTTTATCTCAGAGGTCAACCACTGGAGGCTGTTTTCTGTCAGTTACTTTCAATAAGCTATTTTATTTCTAAACAGAATATGAAGGAGTTGATTCTAGAACTATAACTTCTAGACTGGTTATTAAAACACTAAATGAAAAGCAGAACATCCAACACAGTAGAAGCCGGGTGATGGCTAACCAGTCAATCCCGTCAAATGTTTTAAATGTCTATTTAATCCAAATACACATTTTCAAATGTGTTGATGCTTTAGGGAAATCTTTGGAGAGATCCTCTTCATCCACAGAGCTGAACTGAATTCAGACGGTTAAATAAAAAAATATCAAATCAATTTTATAAAATGTTTTCAGAACCAGAGTTCCTTCATCCTTTAAACGATGTTAAGCAGATCACTTCTCTCTTTGTTTGGTGTTGAGCCAGATTAGTTTGTCCTGAAGGCTGAAGAGAAAAACCCAAATGGACTGATACCGTCTCTGTATTAAGAAATTCATTCCTGAGACTATTGATGGTATTTTCTCTGTTTTTGGTCATAGATAAAAAATAAATAAATAATGAATAGAGCTGCTTTGTTGGTTGTAAGCCATTCTAGCTGATCTGGATCTGGCTCTTCAGTGAAGCTGTGGCCCTGTACTGTTTCTGTTTAATCACATCCTGCTTCTTTACACTGAAACCAGCTGTGTAGAAAAACCGGTGAGCTCAAAGGAAGGAGGTTCTGTTCCTTTAAAGTCTCATTCAACCTGTTTCTGCCTTCTGTTTGTCTTCATTCACAATAATCCTGCATGACACCTTTATCACCAAAACGAGCACAAAACCTTAGCTTACTGCTCCAATCTAAACTCTTTATGTGCAATTTATTTTTGTTTTTGTTTATGAGCTATTTATTTCCAGGGTTTAGGGAGGGTTCTGTCAGAACGGTTCTAAGGTCGGGTTGTAGAAGGATTTCTGATGAACTGAAAAGAGAACACACTCTGGGCACATGCAGCGGTGCGTTTCGGTGATGGCCCTCAGCGTCGGACAGTTCCAAACTGATCGGCGTGGCGTTCGAGGACACCAGGCAGGTGGGAAACCTGCTGATGCATTTCAAATAAAGGAACAAAAATGAAAACTGTGCATTTGTGTGGCTTTATTTTGCACACATTCATTTTATTCCAGCTGGTTTGTCCTTCAGAAAGTTTGTTGCATGATAAATCTCAGCTTTATAAAGTGCAAACTTGATTTATTAAATGGAGAAAATTCATCTTGCAGATGGACACAAAATAGTTTTTATAAACTAGAAACTATTGAAAATTTAATTGATCGTCTTTAGCTAAAAAGAAACTAAAGGAGGGACAGACAGTGGAGACGAGCGCAGATTTTCACTTCGCTTTATGAAAAAATAAAATAATTCACAGATCTCTCTGAGAATCACTTCTCTGCCTCATCCAACCATCTCCTAGCTTTTCATTTTGTTCAAACGTGGTTCCCATTATTTTAAATATAAGACTATTAAAATCCTCTACCTGTTCTGTTTGGAGATGTTTTTAAATGTTTTATCTAAAACAGTTTTTTATATAAACTTTATTAGAATATTATTTATAATACAAAAAAATAAATAAGTCCAATTTTCAGTAAACAATCTTCAGGGGTTTGAAAAAAAATTAATGAAAAATAGCTAAATAAAAGTAAAGATAGTAATAAAGTTACATATAGCAGCATGTAAGGGATTCCATAAATGCTTTGAATTTAGAGCATAAAGATAAAGTTTTAATAGCTTTTTGTTATTTGAGGACAATGTATAAAAATATGTTTTTGCTTCTTTAAAAAAGATATACATGTTGGTTTAATCATTATAGTTTTACATTTGTGGATATAAAACTTGACCAATGGCAGCAGATTACATAGGAGGAAATGGTCAAAGTTGTTTTTTATATTATGTGATTCCGAATAAAACATCCTTCAGATAAAGTTGAAATTTGTCATAAATATTTGGAGATGTGGCACAGCAGTCAGAGATATGGGTCACATTAAGTCACAAGCCTTACATTGTACCTTAATAACCAAAGCTGCACAAAGAAGCACTAAAAAGTAGACCATCCATCCATCAGGGATGCATGGAGCCCAGCTTATCCTGAGCTGAGCTCGTGACGGGTGCTGGTGTCTATCTCCAGCTGTCTATGGGCGAGAGGCGGGGTCCACCCAGCACAGGTCGCCAGTCCATCGCAGGGCAACACAGAGACAAACAACCAAACAGTCATGTTTTTTGCACTGTCTGAGGAAGCCGGAGTACCCGGAGAGAACCCATGCATGCTCAGGGAGACAATGCACACTCCATGCAGAAAGAATCGAACCCACAACCGTCTTGCTGCAAGGCAGCAGTGCTACCCGCTGCAACACTGATGCTGAATTATGTTTTTTTAGGAATGAAGTTTGTTCATAATAATAATGATATTACGGTAATAAAAATATAATAAATAGGTGTTTGTTGGTAGAATTAGTTTTAGTAGTACTAAAAGCCAGTACTACTAGTAGTAGTGGTGCTAGTAGAAGTAATGTTTGTATCATAGTCTATAATACTAGTAGAAGTAACAGTATTGATACAGTGAGGGAAATAAGTATCTGAACATCCTGCT